CATCACTGTCACAGTCTTCAGCATCACAGCAACCACGAGTTACCTCTGTACAGCAACGCACAGACCAGTGCTATGCCACCTAGAAGAATGTTTGACAGGAAGACAATTTAAAATATAAACTAAATTTTCATACATTCTATTTACCCTAAGTACTTCACTGGACATGGATAACTTTGTACCATCACTTTACTAAGTGTTTAGCACATACGGTAGAATAATTAGTTAAACTTTTAACTGTTGTTGTTGTTGCTATGTGCCGTCGAGTTGTTTGCAACTCATAGCGACTCTATGTACAACAGCCCTAAACTCTGCTCTATCCTGTGCCAATCTCACTGCCTCTGACACATCCATCCCGATTACCCCACTCGTGCTTCCAAGCTTATTTTAATTGGGGAGCTCCACCAAACACTGTCTACCATGGGTATCACATTTGACACATCAGTGTCAGTGTTCAGTATCACAGCAACCATGAGTTACCTCTGTACAGCAAATGGACAGACCACTTAGAAGAATATTTGACAATTAGCAACTTGAAAGACTAGATAGGAATCTTCAAGTTCAATGAGTTTATGTTAATGAGAGAATAACAACTCAAAAAAAAGGATGGTAATGGTTGCACATCTCTAAGAATGTAATTAATACCACTAAATTATACTTGAAGAAATTGCAGAATTGGTACATGTTGTGCCGCATATATTCAACAACAATCACAACTTTTTTTTCTTTTTTTTCAAAACTCTGGGTCACTCAGACATCCAAGGAAGGAAAGCCAACACAAGTCATTCTGGTGGAAACCGCGAACAACATTTTTGTTTAATTAACAAAAAATCCTCCCAACTTTATCGAATATAGTTCTATTCATGGGATCGCCATGAGTTAGAATTCACTCAACAGCAACTATTGGCCTTCCCCCCCCCCATTTTCTTTTTAAAATTCTTTTTTGTTATGATTTGGTTTTACAATGCTATGAGATGTACATATGCTGTTGTTAGGAGCCATCAAGCTGAATATTATTCTCAGTGACTCTACAAATAATAGATCTGAATCTTGCTCTATCCTGTACAATCCACACAATCTCTGTCATGTTCAAACCTTTTGCAATAGTCAATGTGTCCATCCAGCTCTTGGAGAGCCTATCTTTCTTTCATTGACCTTCTACTTCTCCCAGTAGGATATCTTTCTCTAAGAACTCTTTGCTCCTGAAAATAAGATGAACATAAATGAGATGAAGTTTCATGATCTTTACCCCTAAGAAGCACTCTGGTGACTCTTCCCTCAAGACAGATTTCTCTGTTCTTTGGCAGCCTATGGTATATTCAATACTCTTTGCTAAAACCATAATTCAAAGGCACTGGTGATCTTCCCTCTTCCTTAGTCATTGTCAAACTTTCAGATGCACAGGAAGCAACTGAAAATATTATGACTTAGATTAGTTCCACTTTAGACTTTAATCTGACATCCTTGCTTTTTTTAACACTTTGGAGAGGTCCTGTCAAGGAAAAATGACAGCAGATTTTCCCAATGCAGTGCATCTTTTGATTTCTTTTATTAC